GAAGCCACCCTGACCAAAAAAAGAGAGAACAAAGCCAAACTAGAGATCGCTCGTAAAATGGACAAAGTTCCACAGGCTCAAGATGAAATTTCAGAAGTAAGTAAACAGCTGAAACAACAGCATATATGTCGCTCTCTAGTCTCTGCATGCCCTTCTACTGATAATTTCAATCTACAGTATAGTAAACTAGTTCTAATTGTAACGGGGACCGTTACAGATGTTCCCCAAACGCTCCCCAACTCCCTATTTGTGCAAATTTCCTTTAAAACTTTTTTTCAATATGCTTAGTATCGCAGGATTTCATAAAAGAATTTTAAAAGCTACAATGATATCAATTTTTTGTCATTTAACGCATTGTTCGCAAACGCACGTGCATGCACATGCAAGGTGATCATGACATGTTGTCTAAACCATTAACATATCTATATTCCAGAAATCAATAAAAAGTCATAAAAATATAAATTTTACCGTTTTTCAAACATATTGATCATTTTACCGATGCGTGTGCGCATGTGCATACAAGCACGTCCTTGCATTCAATTTTGATAGCAATATCATGTAGGAATCCATAATACCTATTCATATTCTAAACTTCATCCTGTTTTGTTGAGAAACAAGAAAGATATAGGCATGTAAAGTTTCAGCCAATCAGATTGCAGCACACGTGGATTTATGTGCTTTCATGATAAATATACCATGCGGTAGATCTTCATAATATGTGACTAAGTTCAAAATTTCAAAGGATTATCACGTAAAACAAGAAAGATATTGAGACTTTAGTTTCAGCCAATCAGAGCAAAGCGCACGTGCATGCGCGCAAGATCTTGCAATTTTGACCATGTCATCTTGTCCATACTACTACTATATTCATGCATTGTGAGTTTCAAAAAACTCCATCAAGAAATAGAAAAGTTACGGCTTCATCCATTATCTTGGTAATTTCACACGTTGCACGTGCAAGCTCTTGCCAGCACACGCGCATGTACGTGCTTTCATGAAAATTATTATATATCATGCTGTAGATCTTCCTATTGTGTGACTAAGTTCAAAATTTCAAAGGATTATGACGAAAAACAAGAAAGATATTGAGACTTTAGTTTCAACCAATCAGAGAGAAGCGCACGTGCATGCGCGGGAGATCTTGCTATTATGACCATGTCAACACGTCTATACTACTAATATATACTTATATTATGAGTATCAAAGCATATAATCAAAAAATAGAAAAGTTACGGCTGTATCTATTATTTTGGTCATTTCACGCGTTGCACGTGCGCGCTCTTGCAAGCACGTGCACGCAAAATGACCTTCGTTCCGCAAATCTACATAACATGCCTACTGACCCTAAAAAGGTTTCACCTAAGTCGGACGTGTAGTTTACAAGATCATTCGCGGAAAAGATTTTCCCAGGAAGAAGAAAAATAATAATAATAATAAGAAGAAGAAACAGAGTAAAAACAATATGTTCCCCAACTTCGTTTGGGGAACATAACTAGAGTTAGCAAAGTTAAGCTCTGTTGAACCCTCCTGAATGACTTGAATTTTTCAATATTTTTATTTATTACATAGTGGGAAATGAAAGTGGACAAAGGAAAAGAAGAGTTTGAGAAAATTTCCAAAGCCATAAGGAAAGAAGTAGCAAGATTTGATAAGTTTAGGGTGGAGGACTTTAAAGATAGTGTTGTGTCTTACTTAGAGCAGCTGATGGAGAACCAACAAAGGGTAAGTGGAACTGGACCTCCAGTTTATCAATAATCTGTCATTTGACTGTTATTTCTTTCACAAGTACAACACGTTTTAGCATGAAATTTATGGCCATTAAAAAAACATAAAATAGTGTATATTTCTTTTCCAACATGAACACTGATTCTGAGGTTTATTTAGACACATTTCCCCTGTTTGTTACAGATAATGAAGTGCTGGGAAGCATTCCTTCCAGAGGCCAAGGCCATTGCTTAGCTCCAGGTCACCTAGGGAGATTATTTTACCTTACATTGTATGATATACTTGATTTTGTTCATGAGATTTCAGAATTCAGAGTTGGTGCCGAAAGTTATCTGACAAGGGGGAACAAGCTTGATAGACAATTGTGCAATAAGAACTTGAACTGACTGAAAAAAGACATAATATTCTGTTATTGTGAAGATTGATGATGATATACTACATACATTCCACTGGAAATAGCAGTGCAGTGGTCAACTGTAGTCTATTGCAACATTTATTTTATGTCAAATAAATTATTACATACAAAATAATCCTTAGTTTGTCTTAATTATTATTGCAGAAATGTCCGATGTTAATTGAGTAATTAATACATTGAAACCTGTTTATTTGGACATGCACTTGGAGATAAATTTTGTGTAGAAATAGACAGGATGTTGGGTTACACAGTATAAATATAATGGAAAATAGAATTTATTTTCAGAATTCCCAGTGTGAGGGATTGCACAGGTGTTGGATTAGACAGTTTTCACTGTATCATGTTTTAGTGACAATTTCTGGAAAAAACCTTGAATTTATGGAACATTTTGAAAGAGATCTCTTGGATGCTTGATACTTGTATCATCCATGCGAATTGTTTCAGGAAACTTTAAAGTGATGATAATCATAAAGTGTGGTTAAGCATATGTACTCAGAATGCCATTTTTGTTAAAAAGCTTATAGTAAGCTCTACTAGTGCTTAAATGATGGTAAGGTGTCTGTCAGTGCTCTGTCCATTTGTAGAAGTTATGTACATTATATAGGAATACATAGTTCAAAAATCTTCTCATGAACAGCAAAGCCCTGGTTAGTCGAAATAGAAGTAATATCAGGTATTGTAGCTTCAAGTTTGTTCAGATCTTGACCCTCAGGAGTAGTATGAAATCGCAATGAGGAATCAATGTTAAAATAGAACTAGTATATGGTAAAAACTGCAAGTTTGAATGAGCCCTGATTAGTTTCATTGACGTGGAAATATCATCAAGTTGTGTAGACTCAAGTTTGTTCAATCATGAGCTCCACGGAAGAGTGGACTGGAGTCTCACCTCTTTAAAAAATTTTCCCTACACATATATATTCTTGTGTATAACTTTGGTTGGTCAATGTGACACTTTCCTACCCTTAGTTAGGGGTAATGATCTGAACAAATTACAATCTACATTGCCTGAAGATGCTTCCATATTAATATGATTAATTATGACTTCGCTGTTTGTGAAAAGAAAAGATTTTTCCCTATGTATTCCTAAGTATACCTCCGGTCACCCTAGTCCGAAATATCTACTGTTTTCCAGGCTTTATTGTTTTTAACGATTTTGATATTTGACTGCCATGAAAATCAAAATGAAAATCGCTAATTTTTTTTGAAAACGACAGATATTTCAGACTACGATTGCCATGGTAGCCCCAACCAGTGACCCTACCCCCCCTCCCCGAGGGGTCATAATTTTGACAAATTTTAATCTACACTAAGTTGAGAATGCTTCCGTTATATGACTAATCACGACCATGTTGTTCTTGAGAAGACGAGTTTTTTTTTAATCAAGACTGAGAATATCTGGTAGAATTTCACGACATACTGTGGCAAGAGCGTTTTCAAGTCGACTAAAAATAAATTAAATAAATGAATTTAAAAAAAGAAACTCCAAAACTGTTTTATTCTGAAATCAAATCAAATTATTTAAATTAAAATTCGTTCTACCCATGAACTGTCCATAAACTTCAAATCTTAAACAAAATATTTTTTGACGTACGTGTTTGAGGTTCTAGATACATGTAATGTTTAAAAATTATCTCTTTGTCTCTATCTTTATAATAGTATTTTGTACAGTAGTTTAACTACTATTTTTATGACAAATACATGTACACTTATTGAAATTTTATATACAAAACACAAAGTTACGAGTCCCCTTTTATTAATTTATTTGGGGAGTGGGGGTGGAATAACCCCCAAGACTGTGGATTTAGATATAGTGTACAAAACTGTCAAACAATGCAAATGATTCATGTTCGTCAAACTACTATAACAAACTATTCGGAGTATGCCAGTTTCCATAATCATAAAATGAACGCAGACAACTTTTTTTTCTGTTTACTTATCAAACATATTTTATAGTTTGTTTGGATAATTTATAATACATGTTGAAAACTTTCAAAATTCAAATTTTACTAATTTTAATTTATTTTCTTCTCTTGTTTAGGACAAAAAGACATTTCCACTCGATCCATCTTCTTAGATAAGTACTTCGGACATAAATAGCAAACGAAAATGTTTAAAAAATGTATTTTTAGATACAGACCATTAGCAACGGTTTTAAAAGTGGGTGGGTGGCATCTTCAAAATATGAGTACATGTATGATGGGGGCGGGGGAACCAGCATCTAAAGTAACTACTATACTCAGAAAAAAGTGGGGAAGGAGCTTCCCCCCCCCCCCCCGCGCGATCTACATACCTGAGATATATCCATTGTATATACAGTATTTAAAGCACATATTTTTGAAAAAAAATTCAGTAACTCCTATCGAGGGCGATGGGATCTATAAGGTAACCGAGTTGTATAGGGAACATTCTCTGCCGAGGATTGCCTGTTATACTTTCGATTTTACAAAAACGTATAATTAAGAAAAAAGATGGTGGGTCCTTTTCTCACTGAATTTGCCCTTGGAAGCCATTAATTTTGGCCATTTGTCCTGTCTCTAGATTTATGTAAGGGAACAAAATATATATTGAACATTATGTCGTATTTCACCATTTCTCACTTTTGTAAAAGGCAAAGTGAATTATGAATGCGTTTACGCTCTGAACAGGTTCATTTTTTTCTATTAAGAACGCCTATGTTTTTCCAATAAACTAAAATTATAGATGTATTTGTAAACACGAGTCATTGGCACCTCTATCTACAAAGTGTGATATCAATTTGAATAGAAGCAAGTCTACCTGTAGATTTCAGATCAGGTCTCAAGATTTACATTTAAAGTTTTAAACTTCCTTTTTCTAATTTTAGAACATTGGGGAATTTATTTGGAGTTTCAGTCTGACAGGTAAAGTGTAGTTCAGGTAAACTGTCGACTGATTCAGTGAGCTTTATTTTTTTTCAATCGTCGGGTGAGATGTAAAATTTGTGTATTTCTTATACTCCAAATACAATGGCCAATGTTGATGGCAGCTGGCGATTTTGTGAAGGATATTTAGAACATAAAGGAAAACAGGTAATTTAAACAATATGTTGGATTATACAGACTATAAAGAGAAAGTTTTTATTTATCGATGACAGTATGATAAAAGTTGAAGATCAACCCGTGGCGACTTTGATACTATGTTATCAGCAGTTTGTGCACATGATTTAAGTTAGTAAAATCTAAATTTAAGTTTACTAAAAACAGTTGACAATTTCAAATGAACGTAATTTTTTATTGGCATAAACATAAGTGTATGTCAACGCAAAGAAGTTTCGTCAAAACTTCATGAATAAAAGCGCATGATTAATTATGATAAATGCAACTACTACTTGCATGTTTTTAACATAAGAGCGTGTTTGAATGTTCATAGAATCAATGTCTGTGTTGTTATATCTTTAGAATAATTGTTTTATGAAAAGCTGGAGTTCGCATTTTTTGCTGTTTCTTTTCTCGTAATATAACCTATACAGCTATTAAAATGTGAGATATGATGCAATTTTTTTTTCTTCAAATATAAATCAAATTTACACTATGATGTGATAAATATGAAGCAGTTATTACAGTAGAATGCACCAAGTTAGGTACCCTTGTATCTGTTTCGTACCAGGAGGATTGGTTACCTAAATTGTGCCAAGTCTCGGGTAGCCGGGTGGGACAGAAACCCGGCTCATTTTCTCGCCTGCCTCCACAACTCGCCACCAAGGCGGAGACCCATCTTAGTGTAGGATGATCATTATTTTGGGTGAAATTCACACACATGACAGCACGATCAAGAGTTAAGGGGTCATTTTGTATCAGAAAATAATGGACTTTAAACTAGATGTCCCACTGTTAATCTGGTGTTTATCCGACCCGAACTAAACGTCCAACATATTGTGTCCACTTCCAGTGAACGTAGTGCTTTGTTATTGAAATGCAAAGAATCTTATTTACCAAATGGGATATACGGATTAATTTTCTGTATATAGTGAAAAGCATTTATTCATGAAGGAAAAGAAGCATTACGATGATCTTACATGTTTTATACCAAATCACTTGGTACACCCCAAGCCCAAGCTTCATGGTTGGATGATTCTGCCATTGTGTGCATAATTATTGAGCAAATCATTACCAATATGTCATTACAATCATGGACACAAAGGTCACCAGACAATGAAAATAACCCTGATGTGCTACATAGTCACAAAAATCTACATGGTTACATAAATTTGTACACGATGAAAGATCCCTTTCTCTTTCCCTTTTCTTCCTGAATTATTCAACATTAGTCAAAATTAAAACATGAAAAAAAAAGATTTTAAAAAATCAAAAGTAAAAGAGAAAATTAAGAAATGTCTAGTAATTGATTGAATATTTAGGATTTAACATTGACATTGGTACTTTAATCAGAATTATCGCATTGAGAAGAGAGAGCAGTAAAATTTTACTTACTATTTAATTAATTCTTTTATTCCAATTAAACAGATATGGGAAACAGCAAAAAGTCTAAATATGATTGTTTTAAGAAGTTCAAATTCATTATTTTTTGCACATGTATATCCAACTGTTCCGCTTTTCAATTTCTGTGGAATTCTTTGCTTTCAGGAGAAAATTATCAATTTTACCAACAAACACAAATATTTAATAATCTCCTAAAAATAAAATGCTCCTGACTTAAATCCATCAAAATGACATGACTATCTTCATACAGAGATTTTTGAATTTATAGAAATGAACCTGTATTGTGTTTGAAAACTACTCACTGTAGACCGTCACCTGACAGGTAGATATTACCCTGAGGGTATAATTATCACATCTGGACCTTTACAAAATGGCAACAGTCAGGGTCAAACTATCCTTATCTTGATTAAATAATAAGAAACACACAAAGATGTTTAATTAAATAGACCGATACACAAAGGGCTTAATTTCTCGTGTGAAGCATGTACTAAGTATGTTGTTAAACTTTTCCCTCGCCATTCGATTTGGTCCCTCGCTTCGCTCGGCACCAAATCTCATGGTACTCGGGAAAAGTTTACCAACATATACTTAGAAATACGTACAATTAATAAACTTTATTTTCTTCTAGCTCGTTTTTACCAATACTGTTCTTGTTTCTGAAATTCCATCGGGTGAAGATAACCTTTCAGTCTCCCTGTTTTCAGGCTATAAATATTTTTTTAATGTGTCTTCAAAATGTGTTTTATTAAATATACCCGTACTATTTCTAATTCATGCAAAGTGTATTTACCCGAGATACCCCCCCCTTTCTCTCTTTCTGTGCTATTCTTCACTTGGTGTGATCTCGATCCCTAGGTCTCTATAAATTTCACCAAGACTTTCAATCTTCATTCATAATCAGTATGATCACTTAAATTTATAAAACAACCTAGATTTCTCTGATGATTGGCATATACAAACCTTTTTTGAATTTTTTTTTAATTTTAGCAATACCTCTGACCACAACAATAAAATATGCACAAATATTTAACTCCGTCAATGACTTATGTTGGTAACAGGCATTACACAATCCTGACATTTAATTTTATAACATGTAAGAATTGCTCAAGTTCAAAGGATCCTGGGACCAGGAAGAATAATTTGTCTGTCATAACTTTGAAATTTTGCCAATTCTTAGAAGCCAGGGATCGTGAAGGCAGCAAGTGATAGGCAATGCATGTTTCACTGTGTTTAAAAAATCACACAATCATGTTATCAGTAGCTATAAATTACTTGTATATCAATAGTTAAACAGAGATTACGGTTTAAAAAGTTTTTTGGACGATATAGTTTGTGATACAAATAAGAAAAGTTGGTTAAAGGAGGCAGGTATTTAGTGAGCCCCCCCCCCCCCTTTTCAAAACATAAATTTTAACTACAGAAAATATCCATTGAAAGCCCCTACTTTTTGTTGCCGAATAGCTCACATGAGCACTGTGGCTAGGAAAAAAAGCAAAAATCAGTTCAATATTGAAAAGTTTTAATCCATAAATGCATGGTCTTATCCTATCCTTAAAAGGGACGGGGTATGATTTGAACAAACTTGAATCAAAATTAACTAAGGATACTAGCATATTTCTTTGACTAACAGAGACATTTTTACCCTTTAATTTTGAACTAACATTGTGGTCCCTCTTCCCGCCCACTCCGTCCACCCTCCAACCCGGTGATTATAGATTTTCCCTATATATTTCTATATATATAAAACTCTTATCGTCTCTAGTGGCCACGCCCTATCCCCGGTGGTCAAGAACAAACTTTAATTCACACTACCTGGGGTTATTTTGACATACATGTAATTTCATATTTCCTGGCACAGTGGTTCTTGAGAAGATTTTTATAACATGTCACCAAATTTTCACTATTTCTGAATTAGAGCTGTATCTCCCCTTGAATGAGGACGTGGCCCTTTGATTGAATTTTGAATCCTCTTCACCAAAAGATGCTTCGTATGAAGTTTGGTTAAAATTGGCCAAGTGGTTCTGAAGAAGAAAATTTTATAGACAGACAGACGGACTACAGAGATAATGTGATCAGAAAGGCTCACTTGAGCCTTTAGTTCAGGTAATATAGTATTTTTGGTACCGAAAGTTCCGGGCATGCTTTTTTTCCTTAAACGGGGCACACAAATTCTCTGAATTAGATTGTTTTACCTATCACTTTGGAAGGGTCCTTATTAATTCGAGAGGATATAAAAAAAATTTATTCTTAGGTTACTTACCGCATAAATTTAACAAAAATGAAATTTCTAAGGACAATGCCACAATTACTAGTATATCATGAAACAAACTTGTGTACTTAACAGTTTTTTATGATGTATATATACAGCTTACGTGCTGAATGTTTCATGATATTTAAAATTGTACAAGTCAGATAGATCAAAATTAAAATATTTTTTTCAATCTTGAAAGTATACTGAAGTATTCAGACATTTGAAATTTTGACTAAATCTGTTTCTGATCCTGACCGCCCTCCCCTCGCCCCTCCCTCTTGGCCTGCATAGATCTACATGTACATGTATGTACATGAGTATTTTTCAAAACCGTATATATTACTTGATTTACATAATTTTTCTATATATTAATTTAAATTAATAAATGTTAAATTGACTTTAAATGTGTCTTGTAAACACAAGTTTAAAAACTCTAAGAAAAGCGATTGATTTAAATTGTGTAATTTACAGTAAAGTTTTTTATAAAGTATCAAATCCAATAGAAAGATCTTTTTAATTTTAGTTTTTTATCAAAAACACGCCATATATGCTTTAAAATTTTATAATAATTAATGCATTGCAAAAAGTTATTAAAATTACATTATGATATTGTTTGGTTTTTTTTTAAATTCAAATCTATCCTAATCGATTTTACTCATATCTTCAAGATTTAAATAGATAACCTTAAACTAAAGATATTAAATCGGTTCTTCATAAGAGTTTTCAAAACTTCCTCATGCCACGGTTGTCTTTATTACGAAGTAGGGGGTATGAAACTGATTATTGCCTTTATATTAGGATTATATATTTTTTTCTGTTTTTATTGAAGGGCCGCGGGTACGAGAGATTATGGTGCGTCTTGAAGGACAGAACTATCCACATTTTTAAAGACCGAGATAAGAGGAATGAGGACACTGTAAGTGGTTATGATAATCACTCATTGGATCCTTATCAATGTGATCAAGTATTGTTTATTTAATCGTTGTTATAGTTATTATTAAATCAACATTACGTAAATGCCATACCAGTAGAGTTTCAATTTTTATACGTGTATCGTGTCTTTGATTTGAATAAAATTGCACTGAAAAATTACAAGTACATGTATCTTCATTTCCAAATGATCGGCATTTTACTAAATGTATTTTATATCGAATGACAGCTGAAGTTTTTCATTTCATTTTTCATTTTTTGCCAAATGATATAAGAATTTAAATAAAAGTATTAACTGGAATACATTTACTTGATTTTCAGTCATGCACGTTATGTATTTTTGTTGTAGTTGTTAAGTTCTAGTCAATTAAACAAAGCATCAGTGTATGTACTTCTGATCTATTATCAAATTAGCACATTAAAATAATACACGTAAATATAATATTTTCCCACATAAAATGTTACACAATAGTAGCGTTACATTTTCGTACACGTAAGTTAAAACTGATAATAGAAATATCAAAACTTTTATTACTATTTCCAGCGTACAAATAACAGTGTTATACGTGATATCTGCTGATTAGTAACCATTACAAATACAGAGAATCCGTTATTAAGTGCAATAATTTCAAACACAAATATAAACGATTTTCCCAACAAAGCTTATAGGTTAGACACACGGGGGGGGGGGCATGATAATTTACCTGAGAACGCGCAAAGGAAAACTGAAATCCAATTTCAAAAATCATGTTTTCTGAGTATACAAAAAATCTTTTGGTATATCTATTAAAAAGTTAAATTTCTAAATTCCTCTCTACTCCATATAGTGTGGGGGGTTTGTGGCAATGTACTTTCAAAAAATTACTTTATTTTTTTTTTCAAAATGCATCATTTACAATTTGGACAAAATCATTTCAAAGTGCGTTAAATTGGAGACTAAACACTCTTGAATTTTTGTCAAAGTACGAGAAAAGTGCACAACAACATTTTTACCATTAAGACACTTAAACGCACTTTGAAAAAATATGTATAAAGCAAAAATTCGAAATGTATCCACAATGATTATTCGGATAAATGGCATTAACAGGGTAAGCAAAACATGCAATATGATATGTCTAGCCTTTTAATGAAATTTGAAATACGATATGATTCTTGTAAATTGATAGGTTGAGAGAGAGAGAGAGAGAGAGAATTTTCAAGGTACGGAAAAAATCATAATTGCTCCCTTTTCAGTTTTCACTAAGAAAAATGCGGTTATTTAGGTCACTTATCGACCTCTACATCTACCGAACTTATAAAAGACAGGACAAAATAAAAATTAAACAATCATTCCTCCATTATGTCTAAAAGACCCATTTTTATACCATTTACGAGAACAAACGAATCCCTAAAAATCTTTAATTTTTCACATGCCTTTAGTTGGTTCCAAGAACCACTTGGAAAATTAAAACTTATAAGTGCGCAATTTTTCAAAGTGCGGTATGTATTTTTTTTTCTGCAATAGCTGCGACGTTAAATAATTCCCGTACTAACAACCACAGGAAAACATTTTATTGTTTTTATTTACATTTGTATGAAAAAAACCATTTAAAGTAAAATTAAATATGTTAAATATTGTATTATAGATGAATATGTCATTGTATGCATACATATAACTGATGGAACATTCATTGTTCAAGTGAACGTGACTTGCTCAGTATATATCATTTATGCACTGATTATTGACAAAAGTCTTCATAAGAAATAAAGGAAAATATTTAGTAGATGTAAAGATAATATAGTCTGAATCACACAATGAGGTCAAAGGGCATTTCTGGTCAATCAAGAAAAAAAAGTTCACAAATGCGAGAAATATATACTCCGAAATTGAGCGAAATTCTAACTTAATTTTGAGCCCAAATCTGTTTCTTGTTAGAAGGACCTGAATGAATTTTCAGTCTTTTAAATTGAAATATCAGGTCTTTGCGATGTAATCCTGTAATCCTATTATGAATAAAATACCAACTTTTCCAAGTTTGAGAAATAACTGAGTATCTTCTGCCTCAAACCATTTATTTCATTGTGCATATAATTACGATATATGTAAAGTTCAGTCGCCTTAGTATTGTCACAGTCAGATTTCCGACTATTAATAACGAATTAAAGAAACTGCGAATAAAAGTTTGTCTGTAGCAAATTATTTGATTTTTTTCTCTCTGAATATTCAATTATTTTCTTCAGGTGTTGGGTAGTTTAAACATTGACAATAACACGGAATATAAATATGGAGACAGTGAGAGAGATGGCTACAAGTTTGAGCTGTACACCCTGGGTCTGGACAGATGTAAAAGAGCTAACAGATTTAAGGTGAGTATTCCGATACAATGAACGTGCGTGTCAATTCTCTACAAAGTATCTTAGAGAGAGAGAGAGAGAGAGAGTCATTTAATTCTTCGAACCTCATAAATTGCTCATATCTATATTTGCTATGAATCCCTATACCTTTTTATGCTTTATTTGTATGTAAAAGAAGACCTTTGCAACAATGAGTTTCAAGCTTGAAAAAAGTTTTGAACTTTACTGTACACATTGAAAATTATTTGTATTTTATTCCATGAAACTTGTCTACCGTGTAGGTTACGTATACGTTACAAACATCTCAAACGTTGGTAACTAGATCCTCCTTAAACCTGTACAGATGATCGAGGGGGTAACTTTGTAAAAATAATCCAGGAAGTAATGATATTCTATTGAAGTCCAAGATTAATCGTTTTCCAACCCGAATGAAAAATGGTTAAAGGGCAGAGTAATTGACAGTCGACTTTTGTTCTATCAACTCAGAGGTTGACTGTTCGTGAATGTAAAATTGCTAGATATCACATTAATGGTGTAGGTAGATCCGCTAACATACGACTCCACAGTTCTTCGAATTCCTGGGCTATTAGTACTAAACCACATAGAACGCTGTCCTTTGAATAAACCACCTGAGAAACATCAACAAATAGAAATTTATATATAACTTTTCCTGGAGGTAGATTACTTTAATGAAATTTTCATTTTCTTCGAAAAGGTAAACCGGATGCTTACACATGGAAAACTGAACCCACCTGAAACGATGTACATGTATTGAATTTTTTAGAATTGTATGACCTGCTTTAAACAGATAAAAACAACATCCTTTTATGGATGGATGAAATCCGTTACTTGTGAAAATGAAAGAAAAAAAAATGTGGTATCGTCTAATCTGGGTAAAAACCAAGACAATCAATCTATCAATCAAACCTTACAGAGTTCTGTGAACCTTATTGTACAGGTTATGATTTATTTTGCAAATCATTATACTACTAGTACTCCACATTTGGACCTGAAATGACAATACTAATTTAGCTTTATGTTTACAGAGCAGAAAGAAAGTTGAGAGAGAAATGTGGAGGGCCTATATCATCGGTCTGTCTAAGGTATGTATACAATGATTACCTTCTGAGACATAAAGATAAACGTCTTAGCCATAGGATGTGAGGTTTTGCATTAGAATAGTTGTCTTAGAGGGTCTTTCATTCAGCCATTATATATTATTACAAAACATTACCTTACACTTTTTTGTGGATCCAGGGCACTGTTCCCAAAGACCTGGACTTGATGGAAAGTCAGATTGAGGAGATCGAGGCTAAATTAAACGCATTCCTCCACCAAGAAGCTAATAAGGTAGCTGAGGGTGGGTCTCCTTCTATAGGGGGCGGATCTGGTCACCAAGCACTCCAGAAAAGGATCTCAATGTCTCCATCAGAGGACAGTGGGATTGACAATACCAGCAGGTACCCTAAATCCTACAGATCCCAGCGGTCCTCATCTTCTGGCTCCAGAGACACGATCAGTGGCGGGGGCGGAGGACCCACAATGGTAAAAATTAGAGAAAGATACAAAATAAAAAAACAATTTGTTGTGATGAAAGGTATTTTGCAATTCTCTTGTTATTGCAGAGACATAAGTTCACGAATGATCCAAAAATGGATGACGAAGTACCAAGGTACGTTCATAAACCTCAAAAACGTAATCGGACACATTTATTTTTGAGGAAGAAGTGCATACATCTTTTTTTGGAAATTTTTCCACTAACAAGTTAATTTATCAATTTATATTTGCAGTTGGTTTTACCCAAATTGCACGAGAGATTTTGCAGAGAAAGTACTGGTTAACGGTGGTCGATATGGTAATACTCTAATGAGGGAAAGTTCATCGCAGAAAACCAGTGGAAGTTACGTCATCAGTAAAATAGGAAAAATGGACGGGTAAATGAAACCCCATCCTGTTAATAAGACTCTTCTTTTGGTTTTTATTCTTAAATAATCTTATTATTCTGTGGCATTATTATACTACGGGTTAAAGTTTATTCCCGAAACAAGTGCCTGTGACACCAGTTCAGAAAAATACAAACAAAATCAGAAGTCTTGAAATTGATTTTTTGGATCAAAATCTTTCAAGTTCTTTCTTTATTCTGTGAATTTAATATTTCTATATTTCTAATCAAAAAAGTAAGGGAAACTCCAAGTCAAGGCCAAAAGGCCAAAAACTTTTATTCATACCCAAGGAAAGGTCTTGTCACAAGAAATACACAAGATTGTACAAAGAGTATAATTCGAGTCTTTAAGGTCTTCAATCCCTAATAGGAAGAAATTCAATGAAATTGAAGACATAACCTCTCACCGACTGTTCAAAAGTTTTGGCCAAGGTAAAAGTGTACTTAATATTCCCGAGTTTTTGATATCGGGGGAAATCATTTTATCATGAATGCATTCTTTTCTTGCACACTTGCAGCCTCGCTTTCTCATTAGAATAAATACTATGTTATCTATGATCATTTTCTTTCTAGCGAGGTGAAAATAGAACATTTTGAGGTTGAACGAATCGACCGAGGATATAGAATCAAAGTAGAGAATGATGTGAGTTTTCATACATTTTTGTCAATTCTGTAAAGATAATTAAACATATATGGTATAAGTACATATATTTAGTAAACTATATAACTGCGATCATATAATGGTTGAAAAGAAGAAGAGTGCAGAAAGAGAAAGAAGTCTTGATTTTAAAGGAAATTATCATTTTAATCATTTTTTTATTAAGCACGAGCCCCAGAAGAATCTGACTGGGGTGATGAACACGTTTCGGTTTATTGCGGGGTATAACAGTACGCTCCCAATGAGGACCAATAACCTGTCCGACCTGGGACTGACAGTAGATGATGCAAACCCCTACCACCTCAAAAAAATAGAAAGAGGTACAGGATTTACGTCCGGCTTAGGTGTCATGGATAAAAGGATAAAATACGATTCTTTATTTTTCAGTAATATTGAGAAAAAAATACTGTTTTCAAGACACCACGTTTTTCTTCTATAATGAATCTTTATAAAAACTTGTGAACCAATGATATATATTTTCAATTTTGATATATTCAATCTTTTCATAGTAAGAGTTTATATGCATATCTAAAGTTAAACCTAGTCAGATTTTCTGACAGATGGCATGGATATAGAAATTAAAATCAGCAAAACAAGTCTATATTAAGCAATTGCCTGTAATTTTTTTCAATTCTTTCAATGGTTACATATTTACATGGTCAAGTAAGGAAACTTACATATTAAATACGCACCTCTTTCATGTTAATTTGTGTGCATAATATAGCATTTCTTGGAAGGGAATGTCATTATCTTTCAGAGCTTCCAAATACAGCCAGAGAGCTCCCAGAACCTTTACCAGGTAAACTAACCAGCCAGGTGTTAAAATTAGTTCTTCAAAACACTTTTACCCATTAATGTTTCCTTACTGTTTGGCTTGGGATTTATATTTGATTTAATTTTTTTTAATTTTTCTCATAAGTAATTAATCGCATTTGATGATGCATTAATTTTATTTTTGCTTCTGGCTTTGGTTTTTGGTTTAACACTACAGTGTAATAAAGGACTTATCGTATGCTCTTCAAAATATCGTATTTTTTGCAAAAACTATTATTTTAACCTTATTTCTTTAAATACTAAACACGGTCAACGTTGTTTTATCATTAGATTATGAGGAGCCGATGTCGAGGCCATCCAAAACATTCAACCCCGGAATCCTGAAAAAGGAGAAAGCTAAATATGAAAGAAAAAGTGAGTTTAAGAATTGTACCTGAGAATGCACTCTTCTTAAACCCGAAACATTCCCAAAGGATTCCCCAATTTCGTTGGAAAATTCAAAGAAAAAAGTATAGCTTTGTAATAATCAATTAAATCTTATATTTGTCAAGGTTCCTTCAAAAATAAACATATCGGTAAGATCTAGGATTACAACATTCAGAACGAGATTCTGTCAAGTCGATATGATTATTATTTGAATTACCTCAGTTTGAAAAGGAAAAGCGAGGGCGAATTGAAAGGGGTGTCGATAATGTAAAGAAAAAAACGGCAAATGGGTTATAGATAAAAAAAATTACAGTTTAATTTCGGTATTTTGGAAAAAATATCTCTAATACACGGTTATGTAGAAGTGAATCAGAAGCCCCAACCACTTTTTCTTATGTATTTTATTCTTTATTTGAATCCATATGTTTAATTCGGCTACATCGAGTTTGAGATAACTTTGAATGTAGATGACGGGTTGATAATTCCTAACATCTACAGTATAATTATTAGATTTTCAAATTGTCAGTCCTATCTCCTTCATTTCACAAAAGTTTGACTAAAAAATGGTATATTTCTATATTCCTATCTCCTTTATTTCATAACAGGACTAAATATGGTATTCCTATCTCATTCATTTCATTTGGGGGATAAAACATGGTATTCTTATATTCTTCCTTTCATGACGAGACTCAAAAACAATATTCATATCTCCTTTATTTCATTTGAAAACATGAGCATGATATTCTTTCGCCTTCATTTCATTTTGAGACTAAAACAAGGCATTCCGTATTCCTATATTCTTCATTTCATTGGATGACTAAAACATGGTATTCCGTATTCCTATATTCTTCATTTCATTGAGTGACTAAAACATGGAACATAGTAGTCTTACATGTACAGTATCTCCTTTATTTCATTTGAAGACTTCACATGATATTCCTATCTCCCTCATTTTATTAGGAAAATATAATTGTACTATATACGTTAAATATCATTAGTAGACTAAAACACGTTATTTCTTTCTTATCCTTTCATTTGGAGTTTAAACACGGTATTTCTTTCCTTTTCATTTCATGAGGAGACTAAAACACGATATTCTAAGCCCTGTCGTTTCATTAGGAGATTTATCATGGTTGTCCTACTACATCCATATCTCGTTCATTTTATAACCTGGGGACTAAAACGTGATATTCGTATCTCCTTCATTTCATTTTGAAAATTAAACATATTACTCTCACTAGCATCTACTTTTTTATTAGGTGTCTTAAAACATAGTATTACCGAGACTGTCATTTCATGAAAAGACTTGAGCATGTTATTCTTATATCTAAATCCCGGTGAGCTTGAAATAAAAGATACCACAGTGTTTGACACATCATTTTACTTCAAATAGACGTTTATGGTAACCTAACAACCAAGCTCTACGATAAATGTGATGACTTAAACTTTTCAGTCGTCAACTTCCCTTAATTATGCAACAATATACCTTCACTATCTGAAGGTGATGACAATTTAAATGATCCTACATCTGCTGTTTTGGGTCTGTGTTTGCTCTACTCCAATTAAATATTGTTTAATGGAATTTTGAGTTTGAATTCTGTGCGTTATCTCATATATTTCATTTGAAGACTAAAACATGATTTTCCTATTTCATTCATTTAATTAAAGATTACACCTTCTTTATTCTATTTTGAGACTAACATAGGACATTCATTTCTCCTTTATTTTATGATGAGACTTATAATTGTATTCCTATCAGTCAAATTTCATTGGCAAAACATGGTATTCCTTTCTTATCATTTCATTTGGAGTTTTAAAACATGGTATTTCTTTCCTATCATTTCTATTTGGAGTTTTAAAACATAGTATTCCTTCCCTTTTCATTTCAGTTGGAGAATAAGACTTGTTATTCCGAGCCCTTTCGTTTCACTGGGAGACCAATGGTGGTTTTCCTACATTTTTATCTCTTTTATTTCATAAGGGGACTTGAATATGGTATTCCTGTATTGTATTTTTTTTATTTGGAAACTAAAACATGGTATTCATATCTCCTTCATTCCATTAGAGTATTTGTAATTGTATTACTTTCCTTTTCATTTCCTTTGGAGTCTAAAACATGGTATTCCTTTTTTCATTTCATTAGAGTACTAGTACTTGTAACTGTATTACTTTTCTTTTCACTTCATTGGGAGTCTAAAACATGGTTTTCTTATCACTTTCAGTTTTTAAGAGACTAAAACGTAGCATTCGTATTTCCTTCCCTTCATTTGAAGACTAAGACATGAAATTTTGTTTTCTTTACGAAGTGGTTTCACTGGTTTGATTGAAGAAAGTACAAGTATCGAATTATTCGTCGAACTATTAAACAATTTTTAAACAATAAAATGCTTTAGTTTGTTTGTTATTACTGGAATTAACGGAAGCAGCTGTTGCAGAAAAAATACATAACCCGAGTAAGCGGGTTATGTAATTTTTTTCTGCAGTAGCTGCGACCGTTAATTCCAGTAATATCAAACAAAGAAAAACATTTTATTGTTTATATTTATATCTGTTTAAATAATCCTTTAAAGTAGGATTAAAAAGATTAATTATTGTATTAATGATGCGAACGTCTTTATACGTTTCATTGATGGAACAGCCACTGATCAAGAAATCTGTACAGGTGACATGCCTACTGTAGTTCATGCATTGATTAACGCAATGGGTTTTCTTAAGAGATAAAGGAGAAAATATTCAGTGGATGTAAATATATTGATACACACTACACGATATTTCCAACGTCAGTCTTTTTTGGAAGTTTAAACTCTGCCTTGCATTCTAAATGGGATTTTTAAATGTAGTTATTAATGCATATATGTATGTTAATATTATCCAATTTTTATTTTCCTCTTATTTTTATTATATACTGATTTATAATCAGTATATAATATATAATTTATAATCCATGTATTTTATCACTGATTTTTTCCTTTTTTTGATATTAAATTAGCTGTTCAGCATTTTGGCACGACAAGGACTTCATTTACACATAAAACTAGTAGACGGTCACAGCGTGAGTTCACTGGGAAATGAATAGCTTAATGCATGCCTCATGATTTGCAATTTTTCGAGTAGTTTATGTATAAAGTTTTCTATGACACATATACTTACATTTAAATAGACCACAGAATATAATATTTATTTACATTCAAATAGTATATTATTTATCCTACAATTTGTCTTCGTTTACTAAAAGTATAATCTTGAGAAAGAGAGTATTGTCATAATTATTTATGTACACTGATCTAAACTAAACCTGCAAAAATATGTGTTACTTCTTGTTCTTGTATATCAGCTAGTTATGTTTTTTTAATTTTCTATTGTGTGAAATGCCTTACTAACGGAAAAAAATATATGACATATTCAGATGCAAATTAACAATTCATTACAAATAATTGCTTAAGAAAATTTATTTTTATATATATGTAATGAACATTTACTTTTATTTTATTTTCAAAATATCTTTTATTGTAAAAGTATCTTTTAAAGTTTTATTTTGATTGATCGATTGTATCTGTTCAACTCCGAGTCGGCAACATCTCGGCCATATTTCGGCGATTATTTTGAAATTATAATTAAAAATTGATAGAACAAAATCAGAAGATTGTTTTCTTCATTTCCTTGATAATATTTTATACAGAATACAGTAAATCACGCTCATAGCGAACACACTTATAATGAATTGTTGCTTATAACGAAGTGTTGTTTTTCATTCCCCTTGACTTTAAAATAAATTAAATACAACGGATATAACGAATTTCACTCATGAAGAAAGCAATATTTTCCAACATGGCACGTCGTTGTGTGCTAGTTTACTTTAGTAAATTTGTAGTCAATTTTGATTTTTTAAAAGTGATATATCTTAATTATATATTTATACAACTCGCTTTTCTTAAAGGAACCCCCTCCCCACCCGAGTTTGATCCGCCTGCGCCTCACCGAGAATCCGTCTACTACAATGCACCAGGTATTAGTAATCTTTTTCTCAATAAAGGTCTGCTTTGATGCAGTTTTATTATTCTTTATTGCTTAATACATACGTATCATCACAATTTAATACAAATATAATTGAGAAAAAACAAATCGGTATGGTATGGTATCAATACATGAAGAAAACAGCGCCTATAATGAAACTTGAAGTGGCGCGTCTATACATTAGATATAAAAACTTTGAAACACATAATAAATGTTAATAAATATTTTGCAGAAATTTACCTAAATTACAAAGCTCAGAAAAGTTTTGTACACTTAATAATTGAACTAGTTTGAATATGGTTTTTTCCAGTAGTAACTTTTAATATATTTACTTCTCAAGTCCTTGTATAGGGGACAAATTAAAACAAAATGAAATTCATCTTCTATGGTATTTTTACAAAATTCACAAAATCTTAATTCCTTCACAATATTTCTATGCCTACCAGTTTCAATTGCAAGGTTATGAGAAGACATCCTAATTCTACTTATTTGTTTTTTATAAAGATTAGGTATTGACTTTCTTAAATAATATTGCAAGGTTAGATAATCTACAATGTGTCTGTAAAAAATACATTTTGTTGAACAATTAATTTCTGCCATGAGATTTTGTATGAAATTATCTGTTATTCTTTGTTTGATTACAGGAAATTGTTTATAAATCATTTCTTTGTCTTGTTCAAGCCAGATAAATCCTGTATGCTCATAAAGTTTTTGTTTTATATTTTTTCAAAAGTGAACAAATATTATAACACATTTTTACAATTGTCAGTTTTTAACAGCTTGAACCAAAATTTAAAAATGCGAAAAATGCGAACAATTTTCATAGGCAGTCTACCAGTTTCAACATAAATCATGGCAGTATTTGTGCTCCTTCTAACACCTAAAACATATTTAATAAAGTCCAAGTGCACTTTTTCAATTTCACCAGCATTATGTCCACCCCATATTTCACAACCGTAATTCAATATGCTTGCAACATAAGTATCAAAAAGTGAAAACATTGTCTCAGTATTTAAATACATTTGGTTGATTTTTGATTTCATTGAAAACATTGCTTTTCTACCCTGGATTGCCAACTGTTTTTGTGTATTATTAAATTTTCCATTATAATTCAAAAGTACACCGAGATATATAAATTGGTCAACAATTTCAATTGGTTCACCATTTAAATGCCATTTTTCTTCCTTACGTATTTTACCTCCGTTTCTAAAAATAACAATTTTTGTTTTCGATATATTAACACTACGTAGAATAATCATATAGTGTATTTAGCATTCTTTGAAGCTCATCTATTGAGGAAAATAACCATATCATCTGCATACATTAAAACAAATAAATTCAATTCTTGTAAATCAACTGGCACATTTCCTTGTTTTAAAAACTCTAATTCAAAGTCGTTTACATATAAAGAGAATAAAATAGGAGACAGAACTTCTCCCTGCAGAAGTCCGTTATTGTTTCAGTTAAACACTTTGTTTTTGGTGTTAACATCCTACATTATTTTTTATCATCAAATTTTAACAACTATTTTTTCTATTTTTTCTTTTAATCAGAAAGTAAAGTACAGAAATCCTCACTCCAGAAACCCCGCGCCCCGTCTCCTACACCACCCCCTGCCCCTCATACCCCTGATACACAGGCCTACTACAATGAAAACGAATTTAAAGGTAAGAAAAATGATAAAAGAATGTCATGCAAATGAACCTTTTAGTTGTTTATGTCTGTTTTAATACTTGTGATTTTTTCTTTTAAAACATAATTTTCATCCAAAAATACACGTTTACCTTTGACCTCAGACCCAGATAAAGGTCACACGCCACCACCCAGCCCCTGCTCTGTTAGTTCCTTCTCCAACAACATCACAAGGGGTAAAGTTTCACCTGAAATTTCTTCTGGGAAGTTTACATATACAAATATTAGGATGAAATATCTGATACACGTTTCTCAAAATGACTTAGCACTCTTCTTTGTATACATTTTTGTACTATATTTTTTAGTGATAGCCATGAGGCTCGTGCACAAATTTCATAAAATCGTTTCACTTACAATGTAATTGAGCACTTGGTGGCTTTCAGCAACTTAACCTTAAGGTTTATGGTACAATTTAAAACATAAAGATAAAAAAAATCAAAAGGATCAAAGTTTGACATGCAAAATGCTAAGCTACACTATAGTAGATGAAAATTTGAATGAAAAAAGTATCAACCAACATCACATTTGGGATTGATTTAAAATTCACAGAAAAATAACATGAAAGGAAGAACATTATATCTGGTGATAGATTGATTATATAACGTGAATAAAAATTTAGAAACTTCATGTTTCAATGGATTACATTCACAAAAATCACATAAACTAATATAAACAGTTATATTTATATTCTAGCTAACTGAAGAAAAGATAAGCTTATTTTTAAAAGAAAAAGTTTCCTCTTTTCTTTAGTTTACATACTGCCAACTACTTACTATAATGTACACATCACAATCACATGCCTTGTCGGTACTATTCAAATAAATGCACAACTAAATATACAAATTTAATGCCATAAACTTAAGTTTTAAATACAAATTCAACTTTAAATGGACAGATTATACAAATTGAGCATCCCCGTATTCTTTGATGTTTTTTTTCAAGTCAGTTCGGTTAGATCAAAACTTCCTTAAGGACGCTGTATTTAAATGTACATGATTAATCCTATATAGTAGTTGATACAGTGCTTGACACATCAATGTTGGATAATTTCAGATCTGAAAGGCAAGGAGCCACTTCACAAGAGGTGCATGTCCGTCCCTGATCTGAAGTCCACCTTGAAGCTCTTTTCAACAAAAATAGATGATGACATCAACCAACCAGGCATGCTCCAAAAGCAATTTGTTATCAGCTAAATTGGTTCATCCAATTATTTTTTTTAAAAATCTGAATCTCTTTTTTTCTGAGATTTTTTCTTTATATTCTTTATCTTTTTCATTGAGAGAAATAAATTGGAGATAATTTTTACTTTTATCTACAATTTTTAGAGGAGAAAACAGGAAATCTTCCTCTGGTGTGCACTTCCTGAAGAGTTTCAAAAACGATAATCTAGTTTATGACTTGTTTTTTTTATTCAGCTTTCAAAAACATCCCTCCACCACAATCAGTGGTTCCTTGTGCGCCACCACCACCACCACCTGCAGTCCCAATACCCTCCTCATCTGCCACAAGTCCTGTTCAACAGACACCAGTCTCAATTCTCAAGTCAGACAAAAGGTCTCTACCCTCCCTACCACCCATCCCTAATGAAGAACCTCGTAGTTCTGTGGATACCGATACCCCCACACCTGCTCAGATGGGACTAAGACCAGTGAAAGTCAAACCAAAGTATGAAGCAAGTTCTTCAAGGTAAGTTTGAGAATATTTCGGACTTGAACATAAAAATGCACAAAAACTGTTCTCTAAAAACCAATGTAATCCACATTTCAACCTTATTTAACAAATTAAATGTGATTGTTACCTTTAATTTGTAGAAAATGTTATTGAACATGAACCATCCCTTGCACAAGTTTAATTTCTTGCAAAACAAACATTACTTAGACCTATTTAGTACACAAGTATTTATCATAATTGCCTTCTGTTGATAAAATTGTGTCTAGAGAGGGAATTGTCTGTTTTTTGACTTGTACTATAGAATAAAGGAAAATCTGGTGGGAATTATGAGCAGTAAAACAACTTTTAAGAATGTCTTTAAAATGTGTATATAAAATAGCACTTGCCCTATGATTAAAACCTTATTAAATCTTACTGGTACCAAAAAGTTAACCTGACTGTGTGTATGTCTCTGTACTGTAGTCCCAGTTCCTCTAACTCCACCCCAACACCTCAACAGCTTGGTCTCCGTCCAGTTAAAGAAGTCCAGAAAAAGACTGACCCGTGAGTGAATCATCTGAAAAAATAACATATTAAGAGTTGTATTAACTTATTAATCTTAGTTGTATATGTTTAACAGCATTCTGTATTGCAATTAAAATAACCTAGGGATTTTCAAATAAATGTATTAGATTTTTGAAATTGATATTTTTTATAAATTAGATAGAGGATCTACCCTGTTTTTAAAATTTATTGGTTAATATTGTAATTTTTTCCTTTACTAATTACTAGTATGGCCGTATTTAATCACTCTTTCTCATCCTTTTATTAAAATCATGTGTAAAGATGATACCCACCAGGATTTTCTTTTGAATTTTAGAGCAATCAAAGAATATGAGGATGCTCAATCGGTCAAGGACATTCGTCAGAGGTTTGAGAAGAAAACTCCGCCCTCCACTGCGCAGAAACCTACAGGGTATCAGCCGCGCAAAGGTAGGGGCAGTCAGGTGGTGTTCTTAATACTATAGGAAAATGAAAAAGTTATTTCAACATTAAGTCGACTTAAGGTTAAAGGTTTTGAGTCAAAGTTTGAAATGCTTTTCACTTATGTTCTGAGATACAATTAACAAATCCATATGAAAATTTTAGATCTTTAGATCCATGGAAATAAAGCCAATTAACCTTATACAAAAAAAGAAAGGCAATGGATGTAAAACAAATTAATTCAAGTACAAACTTATCATTTATTAATGTTTTGTTTTCATGGACCAAAAAATTTTGATTAACGTGAGCATTATTCCATTTCACATATTTTGCACCATATCCTGTACTCTGTTTCTCTTTTCATAGACAACAAACTCCGTTCTTCTTCGTCTTTCTCTCTAACACATTCTTCTGATCACGCAACTCAAGAACTCAGAAATACTAACAGTGACTATCGCCATCGCATTTCTAACAATCGTAAAATGCCATCTTCACGGCATAGCGCACCTGTCATACACCTGGAATATAGTAATTTGAGTGACATTGAAACGTTTAATACTTCAGATGAAGAAGAAGAAGAGGACAGCTATCATGATGCAATTTCCGTTGGTAAGGACGCTGTTTCTATACTCTATAGTGTGTGGCTGATTCTTTATACTTTTTGCTTTCAGAAAATCGTTCTTTAAGTGAGCCAGCAATTGATCCTGGTCTTTTATGTGGTATGTCAAAAAATATGTATAAAAATAGCCTTCCTTGGGTTTGCTAACAATCAAACGCGTGTATAATTCCATATATCGCACAAATATTACTTTTGTATTGCATATGAAGAAAAATAATTGTGTATATATATCACATTATTATCATGGATGATGTCATTCTAAAAAAGTTAAAATGTTGTAATTATCAAGAAAAGAATCAACTTTTCTAAAATAATGAAATTATTGTACATGTTCCTCGTATAAAGCAAAATTCACAACCCCTGTTGGAAAATGATAAAATGATTTAGCTTAATGGGGGAGCACCGAGTACTTGCCTTCTGAAGGACTTACTGGACCTTACTAATAGAGAACGAATATTTTACTTACACTTTCCTGTGCAGTTTTTTTTTTTACTTGTTTGGTTATCAGGGTATCATGTAAGGTATCCTTTAACCTTTCCAGAATATGTGAACACGAGCATTGAGGAGAAAGGTAGCTAAGAATTAATCATAGTGGTAGTTTGAGATTTTGCAATAGTTTGATGATTTCTAAGATTAGATTGCACATAGACTAAATCTTTTAAATGTATGTAATATACGAACTGTATATCCTTTTTAACCATGAAATGTAATAAAATATTAATTAGAAATTCTATAATGAAAGATAATTTTTTATCTCTCATATTAACGTTTTATAGACACCTGTATTCTATTTTCTATATATGGAAAATCTTTTCCTTTAAGAAAAAGCACATTTACAAAAGTTGCAGCATGATAAACCAATACAACAAATCACAATGTCATCACTGTACATTTATATAATGTCTTAGTGTGATTGAACCTGTAATTTTGTTTGATCTTGAAGGTTTTGTTGCTTAAGAGTTTTTGAAACGCTAGGTAAACAGTTTGCACATTTTGCACTTCTTTGACCTTTGGTGTGTGATTCAAATTTCCTCAAGAAAATAACGTAATAATTTGAATTTGAAGACATATTTTTTGAGATATAATTGTCAAAAAACTCGAATGTTCACAAATGATGCTGCTTGGACGAATCCAGGCGAAATTTGGTGAACCGGAAGCTCCATATATATTTTCTATTTCTGTCTTTTCACACCAGTTTGATTCCTTTATCTTGAGACCTTGCCAAATTCCATTTAATCAACTACTGTAAAATCACATAGTTTCGTGGGGTCAAAATTTCGAGGTTTGAGGGGAAAAATGGTTTTTGGGGATTTGATTTCGTGGTTTGAAAATGTTGAGTAGTAATGAATATGAATTTTTGCATTTCGTTGTGGAAATAAATTCATGGAACTATTCATACCTCAGAAATAACGAAAATTAAACCCCAGGAAAATTTGTGATTTCACAGTAGGTTTCCCCCATGAAATTTAACTAAAGGTTTCATAGTGTAGAACTGAAGAATCCCCACGACTTCGAGTGAAAAAGGAAATATATACACCTGTTTTTGTTCTCTTTCGAAACAGCAAAGATACTTCTGATATCATTATCATGGAATAAAAAAAATACATGAAAAGCTTTATAACAGAAGAATGTTTTAAAAAAGAAAATAGACAATATATTAAGGGTAACATAAAGCAGGGCATCTTCATTCTTGCAAAAAATGAACAAACAAGTATTTATAAATCAACGTAGCATTCGACATTGATCCCATGATGCAAATTATCGTCGGAAACCAAAGACGAGATCACCCGTGGGTTTCCGACGATGCTTTGTTCCGCATTAAAGAAACAAACAAGCGCATTACCAAACCCGCTCCAACTCCGTCGAGAATTTATAATTATGGTGTACACTAGAAATTCTTAACATTGTTTATTGCTTTTTTAAGGAATATCACGGAAGTCTTCATTCATTCGAAAACTAGAGGCACAAATCGCTCCCCCGGCAATGAGCCGACATGGAGCTCCTAAAGTCCCGGAGATAAAGCCCATGACCGAGGAGGAGGAACAAATGTATGAGGAACTACACGAGTAAAACTGTGATAACTTGGATTTATATAACAGTTTTTATTTTATTCGGGTATACAGTTGTGATCAATGAACTACGCCACGTTTATCAATTGTTGTGCCTTCAGAAGGTTTCTGGAAGGGGTTACGCGGATAGGTTTTAGAGGAGTACTGAGTACTTATCTCCCAAGTAATTTTTTTTTAATGAGTACAATTTTGGTGGATTTTCAAAGATTACACATGTATACATTTTTTAAATATAAGGAAAAACCTAACAGCATTAACTCAATAAGATGAATTATGAATATTTTAATTTAAAAGTTATATTTTAAAGTTTTTCTAATTAAGGATAGTGAGATCGCACCTAAAGTACCCCATCCCTTCCGACGGCCTAGAATCGTTTGTTTTACTGATCAGTTTAAATGTCCATCTTTGTTAATTTTTCATTGAACTGTTCAAGTATTTTTGATATAGAAATTGAGAATATAAATTGTATTAATTATATTTTTGTATTTTTGACTTCATATTTTTAATCAGTCTTAAGCTTGTTGCAATTCATGCACAAACTCCTCTTATAAGAATTACATGTACAAGTGAGCTTCCTAAACCTCTCTATGTAAACTTTGCTTTATGTGGATATGTGCATGTGTATTTGTGTACTTATTAGAAGAGTTTAATATGTAACCTTACCTCACCATCTATGAGTAATCAGTAAAATTCTCAGTAACTTATAAGTAAGGCTGTGATATAAAAATTATTAACCGTGATACCTCTTTGTTTTGTTCAGCATTTATCTGGTTGATTCTGTTGGAACATTAATTAGTGTCTATTTGGAACATTAATTAGTGTCTATTTTTCCTACAAAAAAAGATTTATAAAATATTGTCCAGAAAGAGATTTATCTTCTACTTGTACATAGTTGAATTAGATTTATATATATCGAGGACGTTTTGTTCATGATTTTATTTTACAAATCAGATAATCTGTGTACTTTGTAAATGGATGGACTCCGAAGATTCTTGTCAACGTTTTTAAAGATTTTATACTGTTATATGGAAAATAAGTACATAATCATTTAAAAAGAAAACAGCGATATTTTAATAAAATGTTAGTATTTTATGGACTTTAAGCATGTATGTGTTACATACTGCCTAGAGGCTTACTCGGGGATGACGAACAATTCAATTTGGCAAAGAGACTTTCTGGACTTTGTAAACAAGTTTATTTGTGAGAAATGGCAGAAAATTAACGATTGCATGTTTTTCGCATAGTTCAGTACCAAAGAACAATATGTCTGTATATGATTAAATAATTTTTAAAGTATTACTGAGTTTGTTTTTAATACACGAGAGATTTTGCACGGGGTATTTTGCTCGAGTTAATTCAATAAAAAACGATAAAGTCTCAATGATTGAATTTTAATAATCGTTTTACAGTGATAGAAATGTCAAACGTGAAAAACTTTTGTATCATAACAATTTAGCTAAAATAAACACTGTCCATTGAGATTCTCCTATTCCGATACTTTATACAGATTACGTCATAACTATAAGCACTTGATCTACGCTATTCGGTACATTCCGTCCTATACTTGTTCCAGGCATTATAAGTTTACAGATATTTTCAAGTGCACCAAGTGACGATGGACTGCAAACATTTTCCACATTCTTATTTTGGAAATCAACACAGATAATTACTACTATTGCCCAAATAAGCAGACTCGGTTACGCTTTCCATTTAGGCATGGCGTGACAGACGTCAGCACGAACAGAATACTGACTTGGGCATGTCTTCAGTGAACGAGACTAATTGAGATTCATTTACCCTTTGCATGCTTGTTTAATATCTGAAGTTAACGTCCATTAACGTTTATTTCCATTTCTGGTTGTGAATGTTTACAGTTAGATTAAAGACCGTTTGAATTAAAACATACTGAAAATACAGTAAAAGAATGCACAATTAAAGCGCACGCGCTTACAGTCTATTCACGTTTACAGCGAAGTGATTTATTATATTCCCTTTAGTTTTAAAACATATTAAGAATTTTATGAATATACCAAAATACATTGACAACGAACAAAATATTTTTGTTCCCGGTATAGGCAATAGGCACGTTTTTCTATAGAAAATTATAAAGATACAATGATTTCCAAATTAGTTTTATCTGCATTTATGAAGAATTAACGCATACTTAAACAAAACTTTTATTCAACTATAACCCCTAAACAGCTGGGTAATACCAGAACTTCCGAATCCGAAGGTGGAGATACACCGAGTATTTACAGCTCGTACAATAATCTTGAATGTGAAACCGATGTGGACCTTCATATTGTATGACGAAGAAAGACTTGAAGATATATAGAACTATTATCAATGCTAGAATGAGAGGTAAATAATGGCTGTCATCACCGCTCATTTATTTGTTCCGTTCCCATGCCAGCGCCAACATATGAGGTACATATAGTTTAAAGATTTCGACATCTGCATGGGTGTCGTGCACAATCAGGAAATTAATTTGTTATAAATAATAGAATTTCATTGATCCTTTAGAGTTTTGTATTTTACTCAGATGACCGTCATTTTGTTGCCAAATACTGTCTGTATTTGAGAAATGCTGAAAAATTACAGAAACAGACAATGAAAAATTGTTATATAAATTCCACAACTTGTTGGGGGTATCAGTGACGTCAGTTTGACACTCGGTAATCGTAAAATTCTCCATGGAGTTTAAACAGACGTGTATGACAAAATAAATACAATTAACTTGATAGAATTAATCTTTGTCATATTATATCTGAAAATTTTATTCGTTTTTTAAGGAAGCTGTAAACTTGAGAAAATTTTACCATAATTATAAAGACGTACTTATAGACGTTCAAAGACAATGAAGTGCTAGTGAACAAAATCACTGTTCTTTTATTATGGTGAGAAAATGCAGACAAATAATTCTTGAAAAGTTTTTTTTCTCGTATAATGTTAAGAATGCTCAAGTTTTTTTTTCAAATTTACTATCAATTGATCTAGATGCATCATTTCGTAAGTTCTATGGTCGATACAGTGACCTTGTCAGCAAATACAATTTATCATTGAGTCAAATGCTGACTGACGTTTTTCATACTAATTGTTAGTCCATTATTTATGTACTGAATTGACAACGGATTTTTTTCCGATCAAGACAAGGAGCACAAGGCGGGTGTCACCGTGTGACCGGTTGGCAGGGGATGCTCGGTCCTCCATGGCACCTGATCCCACCTCTGATGTTTTGGAGGTTCGTGTTTGCTCTGCTCCTATTTTGTATTGTTTTATGGACTTTTGATCTGGAATACTGTACCTTAGCGGTGGTGTATAAAGCTTCCTTAGCATCGAGAATCCATTTAAAACACATTTATTCTGGAAATTTATGTATTATGTCAACTGGCTTATCAGCCCTTCATCGGGAAATTAAACAATTTTCAATGGCTTTTGTTGATTTTTCTCTCATTTCGTGCACTGTTTTCTACAGATATATTTTTAATAGTCAATTCAGTTTTCAAACCTATGAAAAACAATTTCTACATTTATCAGATATATGTTAAGCGAATATATTGAATTTATTGTAGAAGTAAAGTCCACATTGATCACGATACCGCCCCCTCCCTCTGAGAGTGTTCAGTTAGTATTTCAGACTTATCGCCACTAATGGATTGGTGGGTATTCAGTCTTTATTCCAAGTGTCCGATTTCTGTAGTGATTAGTCTATCGATGTGTTTTCCTCCAAGCATCATGAGGGACAGTCCCTAATGGTTGTTCACATTATGTACGTATTCGCGCCGATATTCGTAATTCCTGACCTCATTGGTAGCTAATCCTTAATATGCGTGCTGTCTGATGGGTCAGCTCAACTGCCGATGAAGATGTTCAGACATTTTGATTGGTCGATGACAGTATAATAGTCCTCCAATATAATCCATTGTGACAAAACCTGATCGAGGAATACACTTGAGAGGATACATTTTGAAGAGAAAATCTGGTAAGCTGATTTTTTTTAAATATAAGAAATTTTTTTGCTGAAAATTTCAATATAAAATGCTGCGATTATTTTATCACTACATGTAACAATACAAGATTTGGTCCAATTTTCAATATAAAATTTTTTAAATGACTCCAATGTAAAAATAGAAAATGAGAATTATCGTTCATGTTTGCAAAAATGCTATTAATGATAAAAGCACAGGCACAAACTGCTCTAAATAAAACTAAAGATAATTCAATTATTTACTTTAATTAATCTTATCATGTTTAAAATTTTACCTTCTAAAGTTTGAAATTACTTGATTAGTTTAATAAGTAAATTCAAAATTACCAGAATTATGATTGCCGGAATACACTTATTAAATTCTCTTTTTCAATGTTGCTTTCCAGTCAATCACAAATCAAACACCGTGGTGAGACTTGAATCAAGTTTAAGATGTCCATGGTAAAATAACTCAATATGTTAATAATAAATATGTAGTTTCAAAATTTAAATATCTTGTCCATTGCTTGTCGTTAACTGCAAAGTAACCTTGTTTAAAACTTAAGGATGCCTTAGAAACACTACTCACTAAAGACCTCTATTTTATTCAGTTAGAGAGATCTGCTCTTTGATGTAAAATGGCCAAACTTCAACAATGTAGAATTCGACAATATAAATTGATAAAATACGAAAAAATATACATTTTTAACATTTTATAAAACCAAGAGAGGAAACAAACATACATCGAATGCATGCATGTACAAGTATTTTCCAAGGGAAAGTTGATAGCAGTTACTTTTGTTTACTAATTCTTCATTGTTTAAATGTTTTCATTTTTTTTTCCTGGAGAAATTACGTATTCCTTGTTTCAACTGAAGAATCGTGTGATGAAGCGAATGAACATATGACTCCCATTCCCCGTTAGTTTGTTCAACACCTCCGTCTTTCTCAATATTGAAACATGAAGCATTTACATGTAATATAACACGTGACCAAAATGAAGTAATTCAACACTCTCTCGCCAAACATCAGTAATAGCAATTTTATTATTTTTTTTTCATAAGCAGATGATAGAAAAATGAAGAACTGTCAGACCATTTAAGGATGAATCGAGACTAATTGAATCCCCTGGATGAACCGTAGATCGAAGTGTATATTTATTGTGTTGCTATGTCCTCAATAGGCGATGTGTAGAATTGCGGTGCACTTAGAGGGCTGTTACACGGCAGTAACGATTAGGGTCCTTAATTAACCGATGTCTCCTCAGGCTACCCTTCTCTGATCTCCATTGTCAATTATTAATGGGAGCTCTCAACGGCTGACCTGTTCTTGTATTTGAAGTACCCAATACATTCGTATATTAGAAGAACCCGATTCATGTCCATATATTTAAGTACTTGCTTCGTTTTCTGTATTAATATACGATAATGTTAATCAATATATTAATATACCCGCATATTACGCAACAGGGCATCTCCATTAGTATTTAATTATATTCTTTGATTAATGTCACTTTTCTGGCAAATTGTTAAATCACTCATTAAATGTTTTCTGCATCAGTGGAAAATTTTAAAAGGTTATTTTGTAAAGAACAGCCAAAGAACAGTCTTTGAAAAGGTCCTTTCAACTCAAAAAGTTACAAGTATAACAGATATTGCTTCAAATGTTCGATAACTAGTAATCATAGGCTTGAGGATGAAATTCAAGGAGTGACTAATTACGGGCGAAATGAAGACTGAGAGATGCGACACATGATAAAATCATTGGCCACATGATACTTAAGGTGTTGACTATACTGTTAACAATTTGATAAACAATCCATTCGCATTAAAGTTTCGAACAGCTTGGAAGGGACAATTTCCCAGGGGTCTCTCTTTATATATACAATCAATATGACCCGAGACTAATTTTATGTCAAACTTGTGGTACTTTTCAGATTTGTGCCGACTATGTGGAGGAACTTACGGATTCTGATATTTCTGGTTCTTGTGTCCGTGACATACGCTGTATACTTTGACGACTCGCCAAGCTATGCCCTCTCGTACACCCAGAACCCCTGCATACAATGTCTGTTCACGCACAAACAAGAATACTGCGAGATTTGTAAATACGAGGAAGACAATGGTGACATGTACACAAACAAAAGATCAGGTTATTCCGTGGGAAGAATCAGAAAGCGTGGATATTACTGTCTTTGTTGTGCACGATCCAGATTAACAAACTCTGGCTGTTGTACAATGTGCAGTACTATCGAGGTATAAACATGTGTAAAATAATCTACAGATTCCATTCAGTGTCACTGGAACATTCTTCTCAAGCAATCCATGGCAAAAGTAATGTAACATTTTAACTGGAATTAATTTATAAATTGAGATATGAACTTCTTGTTGTATTTATTGGTGAAAAATAAATATTCTTTGGCACATCTTATAATAATAATATATCCATCAGAAACAAACAAACAAAAAAGATTTTTAAAAAAAACCAACTGTCTATTTGTCAATGATATTGCTCCACCATGATATATTTTTATTTAAACATGAACCCTCTGAGCGCCACCATGCGTCAATATCATCGTACCAGATGGACGGAAGTGCTTGTTCGTGTAATAAAGAACACACACGGCACCACGGCTTGGATGCAACGAAGTCGCCATAAGACTTCCAACGGAAGTATTCATTGTATAAGTCATCGTTTTTATCAAGTTTTAGCAGATATTCGGCTAACTCTTTAGGCGACTTAAAGTCCTCCACAACAATGTAGGAATGAGCTGGCAAAGCACTATGGTATTCTGAAGGTGCAGCACCAAGAACTACTGGAATGACTTCATTCCTGTAAAAAGATTAAAAAATAAATGTGTGAAGAAAAAATACATTATATAGAAAATATTTTACATAGCTACGTTTTATTATTGCACAAGATTTGAGCATTGCTATAGGTAAATTTTAAGAATAGATTTTATGTGTTCCAATTATATTCCCCCCTGACAATGGTGTTTAGAAAAAGGGTCTTCAAATCGTTTCTACTGCATCTATCCATTTTCAATTAAAAAAAAGCGACTAAGAATGGTTACATTATAACTTTAATCCTCTAGAGAATTTGCAATGAAACCTAAGGGAGCTGAATAAGTTTTATTGTGTGAAAAAAAAATTACAATAGAGAAACTTTTTTTTATTTTTATACCATATTTGAGTCTTTAAAAATTAAAATTAATGACATTTACCTGTTTTTATTGACTACTACAAAACATGACAGATATAAAGGATTTATAGAAAATATTCGTGAAATTCTATATTTACTTTTATCTTAGAATTTCAAAATATTATAGTGTATACGGTATTTTTTGTAACATATTTATGACCCCCTCTTTAAAGAAATTCAGTTTATCATAACGTCACAAAGAAACCATTACATCGTCAGTCTATCTATCGGTTGGGAAATGGTTGCTTTAAAAATCGGTTCTATGAAAATCTTATATTTTTTTAATCTGCGATTTCTTAATTTTATTTTGTCAAATTATGTAAAAATCATTGCTTTAAAACCGTAGATATGTATGGCATGCAAAATTCACAAAAATGAGCAAAACATAGTTTCACAGTCGATAAACTAGGCTTATCGGTTGTAAACTATAGTTTACGGACTGTAAACTATAGTTAACAACGTTAATCTACATTTTACATCTGTAAATCATAGTTAACGCGATAATCTATGTTTCACAACCGTAAACTATACTTAACAACGAAAACAATCATTTGCGATCGCAAAACATAGATTATCTGATAAATACAGTTTCACGATTTGTAAACTATGGTTTACAACTCTTAACTATAGTTAACGATCGTAAATTATAGTTTGCAGACGTGAATCTATGTTTTTCAACAAAATCTATTGTTAAGGTTTTTTTACAGACAGATAAACTAAGATTAGCATTCGTAAACTATAGTTAACAGTCGTTAAATATACTTTTACAGATGAAAACTATAATTAACGAATTGTAAACCATAGTTCACGGTTTGTAAACTATAGTTTACCATCGATAAACCTAGTTTATCAGTTGTGAAACTAGGTTTAGCACGCCAAATTCACAAAAATGAGCTAATCATTGTTTCACAGTCGATAAACTAGGTTTATCGGTTGTAAACTATAGTTTACGGACTGTAAACTATAGTTAACAACGCTAATCTTTATTTTACATCTGTAAACCATAGTTAACGCGATAATCTATGTTTCACAACCGTAAACTATACTTAACACCAAAAACAATCATTTGCGATCGCAAAACATAGATTATCTGATAAATACAGTTTCACGATTTGTAAACTATGGTTTACAACTCTTAACTATAGTTAACGATCGTAAATTATAGTTTACAGACGTGAATCTATGTTTATCAACAAAATCTATTGTTAACGTTTTATTACAGACAGATAAACTTAGATTAGCATTCGTAAACTATAGTTAACAACCGTTAAATACAGTTTTACAGATGAAAACTATACTTAACGAATCATTAACTATAGTTTATGGTTTGTAAACTATAGTTTACCATCGATAAACCTAGTTTATCAATTGTGAAACTATGTTTTGCTCATTTTTGTGAATTTGGCGTGCCATAGATATGCATTTTAATATGATGCACGAAACACTGCACAGTGGAAACCTCAGTCGGGCCCCCTACGGACATGATTTTTTGTAATTTGATTTAATTGAAAGATATATCAATATTAACCTATCACATGCTTTCTAGGGACTACAAAATAAAATTTCAAGCATCAGCGAATGGTAGTTGCTGAGAAAACTGAGACGAGAAAACGAAAAATTTGTTACGGACAGAGAGACGGTCAGGCACACACAAACACATACGGGCAAAACAGTATACCCCTTCTTCTTTAGAGCGGGGGTATAAACTTCCCAAAAATTATTGACTTAATTCAATGGAGGGTGAAAACAACATACATGTTTATACATATACGTACAACTTGTAGATAACACTAACATCTTTGTTGTCCAATTTCAATCCAAATACTGCTTATGGTTCTACATCTTTCCGTCGAATTTGACATGTATGCTGGCATATTTCTGCCCCTTCAGGCAAGATAAATAATGTGGTTCATTCTACCTATTCCCACTTTTTGAAAATCTTGTAGAAAAAGGTAAGATTTTATGTGGGAATAGGGGGAATTTTGTGTAAACAAATATTTAACTATGTTTTTAAATTTAGGTATTAAGTTGCTTTTTCTTGTAAGATCTTTTTATTATTTCAAAAATCCGAAATAAATCATATTTTCTCATAGATGTATTCATTATTTTCTGTCTTAAAATGTACAAAATACATGCAGGTAAATCTAAACATCTATTGTTATTTGCAAGTGGAAATAGGTGGAATTGAGATTTTTAAAAAGTGGGAATAGCTAGAAGACACCATGTGAACATGCAGGATAATTATGTCAACATACAAGATAATTATATCTACATGCAAGATAATTATGTTGCAAGTTACAACTTGATAATAATAGTTACAACTCTTTTAAGAAAATCCTATTTTAAACTGGACAACATTCCCCCTCCGTTTCTTTCAATATTAAGAACATCAATTTTCCTTCTTTAAAGTTTAACATGGTGTACATTAATGCATTTGTACAATGTAAATCAGCGAGTCAATCTTATTACTAATACTTCTTATAAACATTTTATTATATCAAGAACTGATTTAGTTTATATTTCTTGCTAATTAATGTTCTTAACTCGCATGTTGACACAAGTAAGTCTCATTTCGATATTTTGACGTAGACGTCAGATACTGGTGTTAGTAATTTACCCATATTAATTAAAATCGGGTTCTCGAAAATTGATTGATTGTGTCACCGGGTTCACAGGTGCGAGAAAGTCAGTCAATATATCGGGTCTCAATAGCTCAGTTGGTTAGAGCGCTGGCACGGTACGCCAGAGGCCCTGGGTTCGAGTCCCGGTTGAGACTTGATTTTCACCACCGGTGACATTTGGCGCCCAACGAAAATAACCCACTGTACCCTTGGAATATGCTTCACGCGTTTCCTTAACTCACATATAGAATTCGAGGACGAATTTCTACAAAGAGGGGGAATATGTCACCGGGTTCACAGGTGCGTGAAGGTCAGTCAATATATCGGGTCTCAATAGCTCAGTGGTTAGAGCGCTGGCACGGTACGCCAGAGGCCCTGGGTTCGAGTCCCGGTTGAGACTTGACTTTTCACCACACCTGTGGTTTTACTACTTTGGCACCAAATACGCATGCTTGGCGCCAAACACCCTTAATAACTCACTCCACCCTATGACAGTCAGGAGAAAGGAAGAGTATATCTCCTCTCCAGATATATAGTCTTTCATTTTATAATGAAGACAAATTAAACCTGTTTATTCGGTAAGAATTAATTTACCATCGTTGCTTAGATAATTAAATTAAATACTTTATCAATTAATTATCTAATTAAAGTGAACAGTTTAAATAATCTAAAAGAATTAAATGTGTGAGTGTTAGTGTATGAGTGTATTCATTTATTTTACAGGTCACCTTCTATTGTTATTCTTCTTATAATATTCATCAAAAGTAACTGAAATACAGATAAATAAATGAACCCACAGCAGCTGTTCTGTTATTTATATGAAGTAACAACTATAGTGCGGCTGTGACAATACCGGGTTCACAGGTGCGTGAAGGTCAGTCAATATATCGGGTCTCAATAGCTCAGTGGTTAGAGCGCTGGCAAGGTACGCCAGAGGCCCTGGGTTCGAGTCCCGGTTGAGACTTGACTTTTCACCACCTGTGACATTTGGCGCCCAACGTACAAAACCCACTATTTCCTTGGAACATGCCTCACAGCATTTCCTTAACTCGTAGAATTCGAGGACGAATTTCTACAAAGAGGGGGAATATGTCAACGGGTTCACAGGTGCGAGAAAGTCAGTCAATATATCGGGTCTCAATAGCTCAGTTGGTTAGAGCGCTGGCACGGTACGCCAGAGGCCCTGGGTTCGAGTCCCGGTTGAGACTTGATTTTCACCACCGGTGACAATTGTATATAGTTTAACGTCCCTCTCGAGAATTTTTCACTCATACGGAGACTTTCATTTGCATAAGGACATAATTTATTGCAGAAAAGATAGACATAAATGTCTTGCATATTGACATAATCTTTTAATCTTGAATGTAGGTGACAGAAATATACCATCATACTCTTGTGTAAACTAACTTAAATATTATATGAAAACAAAGAACAAAAGTAAAATATTAAGAAGGAAATGATGAATTTCGAACTCTTTCATCTCTATTTTTCTTATATTTTTTTTACTTTCGTAAGACCAGAGGCGTTAATAGCATTTATGATGTCTCAGTTAAAGATTTTTAAAAATAATTGATAAACAAAGTAAGGAAATAAAATTTAACTTACGTATAAGCGGTCATAATTTTCTCCGTCATATAGTCTTTGCATTTCGTATTTTCAAATGCCAGATAGAATTTATAATCAGTCTTCACCATTGTTTTACACCAAGGTTTGCTTTTAGCGCACTTCAGATCACCACAGCGTCCATATATGTCCACGGGTATGTGCCTCTGAAGTTCCCTAGCATACTTCATGCGCCCGCTGGTCTCCCTATTACAATTACTCACGAACCAAACTACCTTCTTCTGCTTACCCTCAGAATAATTTTTTATGCTGACCGAAACTTTTTCAGGAAAAGCTTTATATTTGAAATAAGGAGTAGCTATAACGGAATCTGTTCGGTATGTCATGGTCCAGTTGACAAGTCCACGGTAGTTCTGAAGGCGTCCTGTATTGGGAGGGGCTTCAATGGCAGAAACAATCCATATCTGATTTTGGGAGGCCTTGCGAAAAGGAGGACGAATACGAATTTGATTGGGATTTCCGAACACCACGGCATCAGCCGAACTTGCCATTTTCTTGTCATACGTAAAGCGACATCGATTTACTAAGCAATCTTCCATTAGAAATAAACTCTGGCCTTCGGGGTGACCCCATCCCCTTTGACCCCCAAACATGTAGATAATTTTAAACTCACTGCTGTTTGAATATTGTATGGGGATATGGATTATCTGCTCAAATATCCTATCATTGACCGGATCCTCAATATTTGGTAAAAGTTTTTCGATTGTAGATGTTTTAATAATTTTAGGTGAAAAATTCAAAGTACTCGTTCGTAACATTCGTTTTTCTCTTGTAAAATTTCTGTTGGCGTATATTTCATTTCCGAAATCTATCATGTAATCTGTGACAATTTTCCTGCTTTTTTCAACATGATCTAAAGATGCAGCCGAATTTATCTCTGTTATGATAAATTTACCATTCCGGAATTCCCCGAATCCGATGGAATCATCTGATGATTGCACAGAAACCTCAACACCGTTATATGCCGAGTTCTCCAAATAAACCAAAGCTTTATACAACAGAACCACTTTACAAACTGTAATGAACAGTGCCGTCCAAATGACATTCCTCCTCGATACACAGCCCATAGCTGGTTTGGTTATTATGAAATCAAGATCTAGAGAAGTGTTTTTCGGGTCCATCTCTACTTCCTGATCGTCTTAATCCGGGGCCCTGGGGCCAAAATCTACCTGACTAACACAGCGGCGTGCCCCCAGTAAAGATGTGTCGATTTAGATGTATTTTATGACACAGCATTCAGCACTGTGAAGATAAGCTTATGAAATATATAAATATTTACATTTGTTTACTCCCCAAATCATGTATTTGCTTTGATGCAAAGTAGGGCAATTATTTGGATATTTTTAATGTAAGAACAATATTGATATTCCCTTGTTATTGTCGATAAAACAAAGAAACAATGAGTAAATAAGTATTTTATTAATACACGTAGACAGATATTTAGATTAATATTTTTTGTACATGCATTGAAAATATTTTATATTTATTTGTATTTTAAGGAAATGGCATGCAAAGTGCAGCTCTAATTATAAGGTATAACCAAACGATAAAATATCATATTCAGTCTGTTGAAATATTAGTTCTTAATGAAAGATTGATAATTTACAGAAAGTGAACAAATAGTTCATATTATCTTTTATCGTATTTGTGTTTAAACATGCATTTTGCATATCATTAATACTATACAAATTCATAACGCAAATATACGTTTTGACCACTCTTTAATGTATACTATTCTCTATATGTATAGATTATATATATACGTATATACCATGCAGTTCACAAAAGAAATAATCTTTTTTCAAGTCTGATTATACACTACTAAGTTAAATAATCCTTTGATGGACATCGAAAGTACACTATGTTCAAAATGCAATGACTATAGCTCAAAACAGCATATATGTTTTTAAAGTTAAAATTCCGGAACTGGCATTTTCCAATACATCGTGTTCTGTTTTGTTACAGACAGGACACTTCCGTTATTGTCCGAATCTTCTAAAAGTTTAATGAAAGCATCCGATACCTCTTCCACCCTTAAATTAAAAAGATCATCATTTTAATGCTCTAAATTTCTTGTATATTCTTACTAAATCAATCATAAGTGCGCTGATGTTCGCGCATGCTAACTATCTGTAATTTAACCTCATGATGCCAAAAGCCTCCATCAACTCCTGAGCCCGTGCGACATCTTCGGGAGATTCGGGCTGGTAATTCAACATGTCCGTTTTAACATACGCTGGACAAAGGCAGAGAAGACGAACGCCATTTTTTACAACTTCTGGATGAGACTTATTTAAAAAGAAGGAATATTGTGTTCATAATTAATTTTATTGTTTTATAAAACTTGTTTGTATTACAATGATTCTGTAAACCAAAAATAAGAAAAAAGACCTTTTTTCCTTTATTTTTGTATTATTGAATTTGCTACAAAAAATAATTAACATCTAAAATAGTATTTTTAAAATAATCATGTAAATTAATCTCATTTAGTCAAGATCAAATAACTTTAAGTCATGAACAGAGAAGGCCTTATACCGCCCAACTTCTCGTATAACCGATCACACCATGTTTACTAGCACAATAGGCAGGGCCGTAGTCGACTGGGAAAATACCTACAATACGTACAGGACAACGTCACTTGCGTTAAATCCTTTACACCAATCGTAATTCTAATGATAAGAGTAATCTGAATTTACGTGCTATAAAATAATCATTTATTTACTTTTCTTCAGTTAATATAAAGCTACAGAGTATAAGTATTATTTTACCTGCCATTGACGCGACATTGACAATCGAACCCCCAGCACCACCGAGATCTTTCCTCAAATATTTAAGTCCCAAAAGAGTTCCTCTGATGACCCCAGCCTGAACAAGTGAACAAATTCAAGAATTTCATCCAAATGCACAAATTAAAAACGTGTAATATATTTGTATCTTATTTCC